TTCCTGCAGGGCAGCCTGCACGAGGAGATCTGGCTGCGCCGTCCACCTGGCTTCACTAGGTCGTTCCCTCCTGGTACCCAGTGGAGCCTCCGACGGCCAGTCTACGGTCCCCGCCAGGCGCCTCGTGAGTGGCACGACACACTGAGGACTACGCTTGCGGCTCTTGGGTTCGCGCCTTCTACTGCTGACCCGTCGCTGTTTCTACGCACCGACACCTCACTGCCGCCGTTCTACGTCCTTGTGTACGTCGACGACTTGGTCTTTGCTACTGCTGACACTGTGGCACTCGCCCACGTGAAGTCGGAGCTGCAGAAGAGACACACGTGCACTGACCTGGGTGAACTGACAAGCTATCTTGGCTTGCGGATCACCCGGGACAGAGCACGCCGCACCATCACCTTGACTCAGTCACACATGGTGCAGCAGGTCCTTCAGCGCTTCCGCTTCACGTACTCCTCGCCTCAGCCCACTCCTCTGCCTACCGGTCACTCGCTCTTAGCTCTGCCTTCGGATGAGTCCGTAGAGCCGAGTGGCCCGTATCCAGAGCTTGTGGGTTGCCTCATGTACCTGATGACCTGCACTCGACCTGACCTTGCATACCCTCTCAGCATTCTTGCACACTATGTCGCTCCCGGCCGTCACCGGAAGGAGCACATGGATGCAGCTAAGAGGGTGTTGCGCTACTTGTGCAGTACGTCGGGCATGGGGCTAGTGCTTGGAGGGCGAGTCCCAGTTGTTCTCACTGGGCACTCAGACGCTTCTTGGGCAGACGACCAGGCTACTCAGCGGTCGTCTCAGGGTTACTCCTTCAGTCTTGGCTCTGGTTCTGTTTCTTGGCGTTCTACTCGCTCTTCTTCTGTTCTCAGCTCCAGTTGTGAGGCTGAGATCTACGCCACAGCCATGGCGGCCCAGGAGCTACGCTGGCTCACCTACTTGCTGGCCGACCTTGGAGAGCAGCCTCGTTCTCCTCCAGTGCTGTACGTCGACAACAAGGCAGCCATTGCCTTGTGTGAGGAGCACAGACTGGAGCACAAAACGAAGCACATTGCTCTGCGTTACTTCCTTGCTCGAGAGCTGCAGCAGCGTGGTCAGCTTTGCCTGCGTTACGTGGCCTCTGAGGCCAACACTGCTGATGTGTTCACCAAGGCGCTTCAGCCTTGTGACCATCAGCGCTTTTGCACTCTTCTAGGCCTTGTGCCTACTGGACCTCACTTGCTTACTTCTTGAGTCTGTTTGTACTGTGATCTCTATATATATATCTGCATGTTTACTCTTGTTAGGTTGTGATCATTGTACCTTTTGCTCTATTATAAACCTGCATGTGAACTGGTCTTGTGACCACTTGCTTGTGCTCGGAATTTGTGTGGTATCCTTGAGATCCACCCTGAGCTTGTTTTGCCTTGCTTTGCCTTGACTGGTCTTGTGACCCCTAGTTCTCCCCCACTTTGCCTATGGGGGTGTGTCAAACATTATATATGTTGTGTTAGTTTAGGCTACAGTGGGTTAGCCTATAGGGGGTACACTAATTCTAGGGTTAGGTACTTGTACTCATTTCACTGCTAGTTCATCCATTCCTGTTCAGTGATTCCAACAGCTGGCTCCCCCGTCTACGAATATTTTAACTAAGTCAGTCCCAATTTTCCCACTAAGCAGTATAGGGCTGTCTACCGTAGTACCCTCTTTATTCGGCCGGGTGTGGTCGATTGCGTGAACCGGTACAATCACTCGGTGAGGGTCGGTTGGGTCGGGCGAGCGGCGTGACCCGTCAGTAGAGGGCCCGTCTGCTACTTACTTCCAGCGTTTCCCTGCTGCTTGGTCTGTTTCTGCTGCTCAGCTTCCCCCTTTCCCTTAGCATTTTTCGAGCATTCGTTCTTGCGGTGTCCCGGCCGATTGCACGCAAAGCAGCGCCCTTTGAACGGTGCGGCAGCGGCATTTGCGGCGACGGCACGTATCGTAGCGCCCTCGTTCGTCCCACGAGGCTGATGTCCCCAATTGCTGCTTTCGTACGACCCCGGTCTCGATCGGCGGAAGAAATCGAGTTTCTCCGCCATGGCGAGAATCTCCTGAAAATCGGTGACGCCGTGAAGCTGAATTTCCTGAGCAATGTCCTGCTTAAGGCCGCCGATGTAGCGGTCGATGCTCTCGCTCTCATGCATATATCCCATCTGCTCGCATAGCGCCAGAAACCCGCTCGTGTAGTCTTGGACGGAACCGAGTTGGCACCAAGTGCGGAGCCTTTGTCGCGCCGCGATCTAAGTCGCAATTGGCTCGAAATGAGCGCGCAGACATGCGCACCACGCGTCCCACGTGCGATACTGGGGCACCTCCACGAAATACGACGGCGCCCAGGGTCCGGTTTGTCCTTCCCGTGTCGGTAGAGTCGCGTAGTCTACCGGCTTCGTGACGATGACGCGCCACCAGTCCATGGCGGGTCCTCGCAGCAACGACATGGCGTAACGAATCTTCGACGTTTCCTCCGAAACGTAGTTCACGTCGAAGAAAACGTTCAACGTGAAGAGCCACGCCTGAACGGTAGGACCACCCTGCTGACTTGGGTCAAAGCATGGCGGACGCTCCGGCTTTAGCGGCATCGGCGACGGAAGAGCTGATTCGCCGGCCGACACTGAAATCGTGACTTGAGGCTGATTCCTGGCCGCATTCGTCGCGTCGGGGTGTGTCGTGCGGTGGTCATCGTCTCCGTCATGGCGGACGATGCCATCACTTGCGGCGCTCGCGGGTTGCCCCACACTTCCGTGCTGTGATGCCTGTGGTGCGGACTGAATCGGAGTGCCAGGTGCTTGGGATTGTGCTCGTGTAAGGTCGTTTTGCAGGGACGAGCGTTCTGCCGTCAGCGTCGCGATTTCCTCGGCGCTCTCGCGGATTTGTCGCAGCAGATCGTTCAAGTGCTCCTGCGTGAGAGTCATGACGTCGATATGTTCATCCATTTCGAAGGGCGTCGGCTCGTCTTAGTCTAGGCGCAGTCGTGGCTGCACGCGTTTACGAGAGAACGCGAGGACAGCGGCTCCTAGGTGCTAAGGTACGTGAGTCCCTTCTAGTGAAAAATCAAAAGTTGATTTCCTGGAGTGCGGAGATGCGCGGTCCGAAAAGGAAAGAGGCTTTGATACCAAGTGTTACGGGTGCAATGAATCGAAGTAGCGAGAATTGCACCAAGGTGTCAAACGAGTACAAAATGTGAGCGAAGGCATGAGCGAACATTTATACGCGAAACATGCAAACGGTAACGCGGAGCGTGCGAGCTAGCTAGTGCTACGCTGGAAGCGAGGCTCGGGCTAGTCCCGAAGCGTAGGCCGACACGGCCAGGCCAGCAGTGCGAGGTTTGGTGAAACAGTGCGCGCGAAGTCGGTGAAGCCCCGTTGGCAGTAACGGGCGAACAACGGCTGCTGCTGTACGCGATGTTGCAGGGTGCACTAAGGAATATCGAGAAAATTCCTTACAGTACCTCACTGTATATTATCTTACGATTCTGAGAACGAAGATGTACACAAAGGTTGGTGAGTACCATAAGTGAATATATCGAAAATAAGGCTCAAGTCGTTGGTGGTACTGTGCAAGGCAGGGCGATCTGGGAGAGCCGGCTCACGGAGAGCCCTAGGGCACACCACCTGATAAAAATGATGTCGAATGACCCAGAATGTGGAGGGTATCAGATATTTTTCGTTGGTCATTTCTCTGATTTCCATAAGCTTCGCAGCACTAAAATCCATTTCTGACTGTTTTGTGACCCCAGATGTGCTAACCCATTCTGAGCAAAATATTCAGGACCCACACAGACCTGATGATTCTCGTCGATCTCCCAGCCGAGTGTGTGAAGTTTGCCCAATGTGGTTCTGCAAAGACTCGATGACAGCGTCACAGAAGGTATGGCACAACAAGGGTGTCACCTCTCACCCCCCTCGTTTTTTCGTTCGAGATTGAGGTTTCGTCGTGGGTTTCTAAGGAACTGACGAACAGTATTGAACCAACTTCAGATTGAGTCAGAACGGTGGACCCGTTTGGTATATATGCGGGTGAAACGGTTGTCACATAAATGCACGGATAGCTCTGATTTTAGACGTGAATGGCAAGCTCAAAAGCCAGAAGAGAACACCAACACGCCATCTCCTTACGTGCTTACAATTACTGCAGGCAACTGTTTAGACTCCTCACTATTGGTTCCATGGCATGTCCTAGTACCTTCCTATCGGCTACTGTACTCTCAGAGCCGATTTCACGAGATGAGGCTCACGAGACCACCTTCCCCCCCGCCCCCCCTCCAACCCTAACACTTACACTATCACATGGAGCAGTATGCAGTTTCTGTCAAGTCACTGTGTTGGGTTCACCATGTGCGGCTTCGTGCTCTCACCTGACGCAGATAATACTAGAGCCCACTTGTAACGTCAAGCACCAGCCAAGGTGCGGCTGCATCACCTACTAAGAACGCACCACCAGGATCCACCGCGTTATAGGAATTCTCAGGCGAGATGAAGGAGGAACCAAGAGAGCGTTTGTACACGCCGCCATACCAGCACTGCCAGTGGGTGTACAGGCGTCAGTTCGAAGCATCATGGCTTCTGCGGAAGCTTCTGCTCGGCGCGCTGCTGCTGGCTGCTCTGCTGTTCCACTCCGCCACTGTCGCTGCCATCCCCTGGCATGCCTCGCAAGGTATTCGATACATGATTCGCAGACGCGTCGCAGCCGCAATTCCTTGTATAACCTCGCTACCCACTGGGTTCAAAACGAGGGTGTTATTTTAGGCGCAGCGGATGCCCTTTAACACAGCCCACAGGCGTTACATCTTGGTACCCTGAATGGGAAGCGCAAGTTGCAAGCACATGGCGTTACTCTTCATGGGCACCGTCGGACGCAGAGGGTGGACGGTCCAGTAAACGGCGACCAGGAAACAAGGGCACAAGAACCAGGCTCCAGAAGGAAATATAAAATAAGTCCGGAAGAGGTCTGCATTGAGCTGTTTGGCACTGGATGGTATTTCTTTGCCGATGCCTGATCATGAAGCTGGTATCGTTCTACCGTCCTCCTCCTTTTCCCTCACCCCCCAACTTGTTGTCCGAATGGCAGTGTCTGCGATTGAGGACCTGCGAGCGGCAATGAGCGTGGAGGGGCAGGTGGTTGGGTTCACGGGGTGGAATCAAGAGGACGACTGCACCACCGCTCAAGTGCTGGCTTGTGATGACCAGGGCATGGTTACAAGCATGTAAGACATGGTTGTCATTGTCAGCATGTAAGGCGTGGTTGTTACCATGATCACGTAGCGTTATGTAAGGCATAGTTGCATGCATCAGAGCAGAGGTATGTTTTTCAGTTCTAGAGCATAATTGCCATCGTATAGTTGTTGTGGTTACCAGCGTGTAGGCGTGTAGTAATATTTGACCCGTGATTGTTACATCACAAGCAAGCGGAATTGTGTGCGTTGAGCGTAATTGGTTGAGTTACAACGATTCCAATCGGAACCATTACCCTCGATTCCAGTTTTTATTTCGCGCGCTGACTATTTCTACTTGCTTGATTTTTCCTCCCTGTCTCCCGCTTGGCCTCCCTGCGTGGCTGTCCCTTACCTGTCGCCCCAGAAACCTGGCTGGTGAAAACAAGCTCGGCTCCCTGCCGTCCAGCATTGGAGCATTGCTGCAGCTCACCTCCCTGTAACGTCCCCGTGCCACCATCTCATGCCCGTGCTGCCTGTGCTACATTCTCATTGCCTAGTCCAACTTGGCTCCCTGAAACCATCTCAGAATACTCGAGGACTCGGTACGGCTTTGCAAAGCCATCAAAACTGCACACAAAATTCTGGACATGATCCCTCTATCCAATTTCCCTCTCCCCACCTTCCCCCCCTCGCCCGTTCCCCATCCGGCAGTGTACTTCAATCCAACCAGTTCAGCAGGGAACTGCCAACAACTCTTGACAGTCTGGTCAACCTGGTGAATCTGTGAGGCTTCCATTCCATGCGACATGCCATGGGCTCAATTGTGAGTGTATACGTGCTGCATGAAGGTCCCGTGTGTGCATGAATGTTGCATGTATGCATGAATGTTGTATGTGTGGTTGCGCATGTCCTTTCATTCACATAACACTACCACGTCGCGTGCACATGTTCTTTCCATGTAGCATTGAGTGTGTGTCGTGAGAATGCTCAGACATTGAACATGCGCATGCCCCCTTGTGCTTCCCTCAACCACCTGCCTCCCCTTGTCTACCTCACAACGCCACAACCCCCTGCCTGCCCTCCGCACGACAACGCCCTTGGCAGCGACCTGTCGGCCAACCTCTTCACGGGGACCATCCCTTCGTTTGGCAGCTTGACCGCACTCACGTCCCTGTGAGCCACCTCCCCAGCCACCTCCCTAGCCACCCCTAGCCACCTCCCCAGCCACCTCCCTAGCCACCCCTAGCCACCTCCCTAGCCACCTCCCTAGCCACCTCCCTAGCCACCTCCCTAGCCACCTCCCTAGCCACCCCTAGCCACCTCCTTAACCACCCTAGACTGGTGTGGTTTAGCTTTCCAGCGCCATGTATGTATGGATTGTGTAACTTAACCGTATCAACCCCTGCCGACATGTCATGGGTCTGTGGTTGTTTGTGCTGCAATGTGCTGCAGCCACTGCTAAATTTCCATCGCCGTGGTAAGAAGAATGAATTCACACATACACGCTCATGCCAGAGCCACAGCCGCCTTGGACCCGCGTATCTAAGCAGAGCCTGACCTATTCGATTTTGTATCAAGGAGATTCACACTGTTTTGCCTCTCCTCGCTGCCTAATCTACTCCTGTCTCCTCGTTCCCGTGCACTCCTCCTACTGCCTGCTACCCTCCTCCCCTCCTTCTTATGCAGCATCTTGGCCAACAACAGGCTTGCCGGGTCCCTCCCTGACTGCTTCTCCAACCTCCCCAGCCTTGAAACCATGTCAGCCTCTCTCCTCTCTCAAGCTTAAAACCATGCGAGCCCTTCACTTACATGCGTTCAGATCACATTGCAGATAAGTGAAGGGCTTGCATGGTTTAACATGTCCCCTCTCTCTTCCCCACCTCCCTCCTCCCTGCTCGCTCTGCCCCACCTCCCTCCTCCCTGCTCGCTCGCTCTTCCCCACCTCCCTCCTCCCGACTCACCCTGCGGGAGCCCATGTAGATTGCGTTCCCTTGGCAGCTCGCCAACTGATTGCTTGTTCTTTGCTTGTTGCCTTGCTTTCTCGCATCTGTACTCATACTCATGCAAGCAATGCGGTTTTTGTCATGGTGCCATCCAACCAAGGTCCCCCCTTTGCTCATTCACACTCACATCGCAGTGACCTTTCAAGCAACCAGCTCTCAGGCTCGTTACCGGCGTCAATTGACAACCTGGAAGCCCTTACTTGGTTGTGAGTCACATACAACATGCCTCATGGACGGACCTCTGGGCACACACACAATCCCTCACAGTCACTCACGAACGATCCAGCACCAGCACGGATGCTGTGTCACGTCCGTCCTTCTTTGAGTGCTGAACTGCCCTATTGAGGAAAGCAAGTTACCTGTACATAAATGTTTTTGAGTACCCAGCCCCCTGCCCCCTCCACCTCCCTCCCTGTAGCTCCCTCACTTCTCCACACATTCCTTTCTTCCTTGTTCTGTTCTGTTCAGAAAATCTACGTATCAGCTGCCCACAGCCTCCTCTGCTCCCAGCAACCAGCCGCAACGATCTGCTTACGTATACCAGCCTTCTGTGGCTGCTCCCCTCCTACCACCCTCTCCCCTCATTCCACCCTCTCCATCCTTTGTACTCCCCCTCTGCCTTCCCCGTGCAGTGATGTGAGCAATAACTACTTGTCTGATGACAGATTCCCCGTGAAGATTTGCACCATGGATCAGTACGAGGAGGTGAAGATCTATAAAAACTGCCTCGACCACCCCTGTGACTTCTACGATGCTCAACGATCATCCGATGACTGCTCCGCCTTTTGCGGCATCTCGCCCTCCTCTGAGGCCTGTAGCGGCCATGGATACTGTTACTGGGACGGGGATCCTGAGGACTCCGCAGCGCATGCCAAGTGTGTGTGCGATGCAGGGTTTCCTTACGCAGAGGACCGTGGGACGTGTGTTTCCACCAGCGCTACTCTGTGGCACATCACCCAGCGTAAGGATGGCAGGTAGCGTTGCTTGGTAAAGGGAGTACGTTCTGAATATCTGCTTGTAAGGGCTAGGATTGAGAGGCTCGTTCCAGGGCACTGTTCCGTACCATATCAATGCTTTCCCTCTGCACATGCATGCCGAAAACGGCATTCTGGTCACTAGCGCTGCTCACTTGCCTGCCATGCATTCGTGCCAAACATGTGTTTGGTTGGAGGTGGCAGTGCCATTCCTCGCGGATTTGAGGAGATCCTGGATCGAAAGCTTCTACGGTGGCAGCACCCAAGGCTTCAAAGGCTGGCAGGACGGGGACGACTGCAAGACTGCAGACTTGCTCACTTGCGACACCGATGGCATGGTTACAGAATGGTGTGCCACAATAGTTGAAAGTGCTGCTTTTTTGTTGCACCATTGTTACCATACAATGTTCCTTTCTGTCAATCCCTATCCCAACACACTCCTCACGTTTGTCTTCTGATGCTGTGTCCCTGTCCCTTCCCTCCAGGAGTCTCCTCTCTGACATGCAAGTCGTTAGTGGTGAAATACCCGAGACCATCAGCCTCCTGTCAAGGCTATCTGTCATGTATGTATGCCTGTCCTTCCATGCGATACTGCATGCCCTGTGTCTCACTCCTCCGATGCCGATCGTGTGCATGCGTGTCCATAGCCCCCTTGGCAATGCCAATCCATGTCATGTATGTATGTATGGCTGATCCATGCCTATTTCAAGCCATTCATGTATGGCTGTCGCTGCATGCTGAACGCTTGTCGTCGTGTATGCTCCTCTCTCCTTACTCATTGGTTGCAAGTCACATCTTTGTCCACCAGAGACATAGGCAACGCTGACAGCTTGTCTGGTTCTTTTCCACAGTTAATAAGTCAGCTGACCAACCTTATCAAGCTGTGAGTAACTGTGGCGTTGAGCACGTGAAGCCGAGCACGTGAGGATGATGAGCCGAGCACGTGAGGATGATGAGCCACACCACGCATTCCACTTTATATACGCGGGGTCAAGCCGACCCAGGTCGAGTCATGTCCAACTGAGCCAAAAAAGAGGTCGTCTCTAGGCTTGAATTTTGGCCTCCGGCTGGGGCTAGGGACAACCCAGGGAGGCCTGCCAAAAGCTTAGCCATCTCGCATTTGCAGTCTGGCCTTTGATCTAGTTGCACCATCTCAAACCGTGCGATGCATGCGTCCTCATGCTTCACATAGAAGCACAGCTGAAACAGGAGAACAAGACAAATAAATGGCCTTTCTCACATGTTTTTCAGAGTGAGCGGTGCAAAGGAAAGGACCAAGGTCAAAATGCGAAAAAAAGAAGACGGAATGATGGCTGGGCCGCAAGAATAGTAAAAGGGAGATGCTTTGCAGCTTAAAACTGAGTGAAATCTGTGGCTCGTTGACAATTCTTCCAAAAGCCACAAGCCGAGCTTGTGGATCGACCACTCCCGCATGCCTACTTTGAGAGGTTTGGCTTGTCAGGTGTTTTGTCTGTGCCTGTAATATAAGGACCCCTGCGTTTACTCTGCTTTAAAGCTCCTCACGCCACAGCATGACCTGTACCTGTGCCACTTTTCTTGCTCATTGGCCATGCAGAACGGTGTCAAGGTTTGAGGTGAAAGACAGCTTTCCTTCAGGGCTCTTTACTCTTCCACACCTCACCCACATGTGGGTTTTCCCCATCAGTCTTCTCTCCTGTTTCGGTTTGTTTGTATATATGTATGTACATGAATATATATATATATATATATATATATATATATATATTTTGTATGCTCTGCATATTCGCTGCGGTGTAAAAAACATAGCTCTCGCTCTCTCACCCAGTTTGCACAGTTCTGCTTCTAGAAATGTCTTCCTGCACGCCGCTTGAAGTATTTTTCACTCAAAAGAGGAAGCGGGTGCTAACTAACCCAAGCGTGCTTTTCTTTTCCTGGCAGTGTCCTTTCGGATGCATTCCTTCCAGAGACATTTCCTGCAGGGATTTCCTTGATGACATACCTGAAGCACCTGTAAGTCCTTTCTGTGCAACTGCAAATGCTTTCTCGCAAAGTGCAAGTGGTTGGGGGAGAGTGTCCTTGCCATACGGCTGGATCTGGGATGCAAGACACAGCCCTGAGATGTCTGCCAGCATGCGTTTCCGTTCGATGTATTGATTGTTTCAATTTTGTTTCAAGCGCTAACCGATCTTACCCACGCTTAACCACCACCCTCTGTCACCCTCATCCATACAATTCCCTGCTATATCTTCAATTCACCTTCCATTACAGCGGTCTTAGTCGTAATAGCTTCTTCGGCCCTTTTCCTGAGGTCACAGGCTTGGTTCAGCTCAGCTACCTGTAAGCTTGGTGCTAGCATTATATCTTGCTTGTAGTATGTAATCTTGCCTTTAATGATGGAACAATGGATTTTTATTGTTCTCTCTCTTCTTGATCTTCCCATCTTGCTCGTCCTCTTCATGTGTGTTCCATGCCTTTCTCCCGGCAGAGACATCTCGTACAACTACTTCACAGGCTCCATGCCAACTCTGACTAAAATGAGCAGCTTGGTATCTCTGTGAGTGTGCATGCTCACAGAATGCTGTGCTCACCCAGCCCGGGTAGTGCTTTGGTTTGGGGGTGCGCTTGTGATGCTTTGCAGGTGCGCGCGCACACCCAGCCCAAGCGTTGCTGTGCGAATGCCCACATACACCTTCCCTCCCACTGTCTCGGACCTCCATCTCTCTCTCACCCCACTTCTCCTCTCCCCTCACATCTCCTCCCTTCCTTTCCACGCAGATCACTACGCAACAACTTCATTTCATCTGGAATTATCGCGGGAAAGGTTTGCGAAAGCGTCAAAGTGGACGTGCGGAACAACTGCTTCGCGCCAGAAGATGTCCCGTGCCTGTTGGAGGTCGAGCAGCTCGCAACGTGCTCTGACTTTTGTGGGATGATTGGCTCCTCCGTGCCCCCCTGTGCCGGCCACGGCTACTGCTTTGGCGAGGGGTGGGGTGAATGGTGGGGCGCCGGCCAGATGCAGTGCCAGTGCTTTGAGGGATACGTGCCTGGGCCTACCCACAACTCCTGTGTTTCTATGCTGGAGAGCTCACAGGGTGCGTACTCATGACGGGTGAACGGAGATCGACGTCTTGTCATCCGCAGACTTGCCCTCAACCCTAAACACTGAATCAAAACGAAACAGAAGTATGGATGGATGGGCTCACTATGTATATGTGAACCTCGTCATAAAAGCTTTCTCGTCCACAAGTTTGTTTTCCTCACGATTCAATGTTCATATCAACTTCTTCCTCCCATCCCGTCTGAACGTGTGATTCTGCCAGTGCAAGTCCTGGAAGACCTGTTGGCATTGTGGGGCAGCCCTCGTGGACCGTGGCAGTCAGAAACCCCAGTCTCCCTCCTCCGCTTTGTCGTTCCCGATTCTGAAAAGTTCATCGTCAGTCTGTGAGTGGAACATGTTTTTTGCTCCTGTGTGAGTGTCGGATTTATTACTACAGTATGCAGTAGGCTGGGTTGGGATGTGTAGGAGGGCAGTGACGTTTCTCCGGAGCTACTCCCATCTTCCCTGTGCAAGTCTGAGGCACCTCTTCTTGCCTCGTCCTATTTGTTCCCTCCATTCCCGTTGTTTGTGCTCGGCCCTTTCTGTCCCCTCTTAGCCACCCACTTTCCCACTTTGGAACCTTCCTGCTATCCCCTGTGTGTGTGCGCTCCCTCCCCATCCCCCCCTCTTTTACCTTCCCTTCTCACTCTTTCCTCATTTCATCTTCATCCTTCTCCTCCTCACTTCAACCTTATCCTCTCCCCTCCCACCTACTCTGACTGCAGTGACTTATCAAACCAAGGCCTGTTTGGACCCATCCCACCCTTTCTGTCACTGCTCACTCGCCTCACACGCCTGTGCGTACAGTACAGCTGCACTTCATAGCATCACACAGTACACATCATTCTAGTTGACATAGTTTGCATTTCCCAACCCAATTCTGCATCAGATCATTATGTGTTGCAAGACCCTGTACGTATGGCATGATCCTCACTTCTCCAGCATACAACGTTACACATTTCGTGCAGTTTTGTGTATATATACCTCATGTCTGCATGAATGCTTTCCTGCAGTACCCAGGTCCCTTGCATGTCGTTGTCCTCAGACCGTATACAAACCTCATCCCGTCTCCCATCCACCAGTCTTTCTTCGACATTGATTTACATCTGAGTCGACTCTAATGACTCACACACAAACAGCCCATCACTGGTGCACTTTATTGAATGACCAGTCTTTCCTCCATATTTTTTGTTTGACTTGCCACCTCTCCGTCTCCTCCCATTGCTTGCCTTGGGGCATGCTTCTTGCTGCTGCTGCTGCTGCTGCTGCTGCATCCTTCGTATGGACAATGCTGGTAGATGGACAATTCGCTGAATTCCCTCTTTCGTTTCCATGCTTTCGCACCTCACAGTGACCTGTCGTTCAATCAGCTGTCTGGCTCGATACCTTCCTCCTTCAGCCTACTGAAGCGTCTGCAGACGCTGTGAGAAGAGCAGCTCACTAAAGCATTTTTTTCAGAACGATCTGAGCTCTACAACCTCACTTTATCTTTGTTATCTATAAGTATTCCTCAACGTCACTGGTCATGGTTGAGACGCCTGCTAGACACTAATCGTCGCAGCACCCTGCTCTTGCTTTGAGACGCCTCAAATCTCAAGCATTCATCACAGTTCCCTGCTCTTGACGTTGGTATATTCTCCGGCCCTGGTCACAGACTCACAGCATCGAAAGCAACCTAATCTCAAACTCAAGCACGCAAACCTGGCTGCATTTCCTTTCCCTGGTCAATATTCCCTTGGCAGGGCTTTGCGCAGCAACTACCTGTACGGAGGCTCGCTACCCACCACCATGTGCACCTCATCCTCCTCCTCGCCGCTCACCCTCTCTCTGCACGACAACTGCTTCCCCTCCGACGCCGTCCCGTGCGCCCTCCCCCACGCCCAGCGCCCCCCCCTCCAATGCTCCGCCTTCTGCAGCCTCTCCCCTCCCTCCACCCCGCCCTGTGCCGGCCGCGGCTACTGCTTCTGGGAGGGGGGGGAGGCCACAGGCACTGCCACGTGTGTGTGCGGGGAGGGGTACGACAATGGAGCTGATCCTGGAACGTGTGCCTCCCTAATCCCACAAACGGACTGTAAGGCGTTGCATACATGATGCATGCATGCTGACGCTTGGGATGGAGTACTTCTTATAAGCATTTTTGTGAATTTGTGAAGCACCGCTTCATTAAGGGCAGCACTGGCTTCCCAGCTTCTCACACCATCATTTTGAGTCTTCCAGCCTGGAGTCTTCCTGACTCTGTGATAGTGGAGAGGGCTGACCGTAGGTTGCCTGTGCGGAGCAATGACATCGGCTGCCTTGAGTGTGTGCGTGCGTGCAGGGAGCGTGTTGGAATCACTCATGGCCGCGTGGGGAGGCTTTGATGGCGATGGCACGTGGAAGAGTGGCATGCCGTGCGAGCGCATGACGTTCGTCTCATGCGATTCCACCAACCGCATCGAGACACTGTGAGAGCCGTGTTGAGCTGCTGTGAGAGAGAACCACGCATAGTGCATAAGGGACATCACATGCCATTCGTGTTGAGAAGCAGTACCTAGCCAACAACCACTGAGTAGTATTGCTGCCATTGCTCTTTCGTGGCATCCGAAGGTTGCCATCGTATTGATTCTTTTCCCTCTGTGCTTCTAACAGCTTTCATGTATCTTCCATTTGTCTGCATTCACATCCTTTCCGTTCACCCATCTGTCCTCTTCACCCAACTACCCTTCACTCGTTCTGGTTCCCCCTTTCCCTGCCATGGCAGCAACGTGTCGGGGCAGGGAATCCCAGGGTCCATTCCGGAAGCCATCAGTGGTCTCAAGTCCTTGCGTGTGCTGTGAGTGCACGCCACTCCCTGCTTGCTGGGATGGATTTTCTTAATGCTGAAGGGGGTCAGCGTCACGCGTCAAAATGCTACAATTTGGCACTTGACGCTATGTTTGAAGTTTGACGCTGCTTGAATAAAGGCAGCCCGGAGTTGTTGTCGTGGTAGTGGTCGTGGTAGTGGTCGTGGTCATGGTAGTGGTCGTGGTCGTCGACTCGTCGTCGTCGTGGTCTTCGTTGCTGCATGGACACTCGCATGCACACTACAATAGCAATCCTAGTGCTACTTTCATTCTGGATGTATGCAATTGACGAGTGGCTTGTGCAGGGATTTGTCTAGAAACTACTTGACAGGTTCACTGCCAAGCTCTATCAGCAATCTCTTGAACCTCGACATTCTGTGAGTGGACCTCGTGACTTGGGATAAATGACACATTAAATTTCTCATGCTGTCAATTTTTGCTGCTCCTGATGACCCAAAATTCAAGATGACTCCTCCCTCTCTTCAACTTTTTGAAAAACAAATCCCTACACTTCACATGGCTTGCACTGCAGGTCCTTGAGCAACAACTACTTCTACTCAGGAACTCTGTTCAAGACAATATGCAGGGTCGCCCTCTCTCTGCACGACAACTGCTTCCCCTCCGACGCCGTCCCGTGCGCCCTCCCCCACGCCCAGCGCCCCCCCCTCCAATGCTCCGCCTTCTGCAGCCTCTCCCCTCCCTCCACCCCGCCCTGTGCCGGCCGCGGCTACTGCTTCTGGGAGGGGGGGGAGGCCACAGGCACTGCCACGTGTGTGTGCGGGGAGGGGTACGGTTATGGAGTTGATCCCGGCTCATGCATCACGCTATTGCCAACTTCGGAATGTGAGCCTCTATCGTCTCATCTCTTTCGTATTTACATCTGCTCCGATTTTGAGCGTTTTCCTCTTCACGTCACTCCCCATTTCATGTGTGCACAATGCACAAACACAAATGTAAGTGCACATGCAGCTGACAAAAACGTGTAGACTGCTAGAAAGCCAGATAAATGGTGTTTGCAATGCATGCCTCCCAGTTTGCACGTCCCTTCTTGTGACTGTCTTCGACTGCTCTCGGAATGCAGGGCTGGTTCTGGATGCACTGAAATCGGCTTGGGGTGGCTTCGATGGGGGAGGCACGTGGAGTGAAAGCACCCCGTGTGAGCGGTTGAAGCATGTCAAGTGTAACGACGACAATCACATAGTGGCCATGTGAGAAACACTCCCATGGTTGCTAGGTGCCTCAAACTACCAGCCTTTTAAAGCACCTGAAAATTCCTTTGTTTGTTTGCTAGGCGCCTCACAGGTCAAACTAGCAGCGTATGTGCATGGTCCTATCTCGTGAACCGTGCAATTAGGGCAGTCACATTGTGGGCACGGGCTACACGATCATTTTTTGCCCTCTTTTGCCTTTGTTTTCGCCCCGTCGCCGTCACATACACATTGCGGGTTCGTTCTTCCACTCCTACCTCCACCATCCACAGCTTGCAATGAAAACAGTGGATGCTCCCCCTCTCCCATGTATCGGCCAACAGGAATGTTTCTGGGCAAGGCATAGCAGGGTCCATTCCAATCAACATCCAAGACCTGCTGCATGTCACGTTGCTGTGAGCATGTCACGTTGCTGTGAGCATGTCACGTTGCTGTGAGCATGTCACGTTGCTGTGAGCATGTCACGTTGCTGTGAGCATGTCACGTTGCTGTGAGCATGTCACGTTGCTGTGAGCGTGTCATGTTGCTGTGAGCATGACACTTTGCTGTAAGCATGTCACGTTGCTGTGAGCATGTTAATTCTAGAACACATCACTGACGTACGCAAACAGCTTCTGTAAGGGCGTAGCTTTTGTGAATGCATGCTGGTGCATGCAGGCAGCGTGCAGACGTCCAGTGTGGATGCATGGGGCGTGCGTGCATGTGATGTGAACGCGTATGTGTAAATTCTGTTGTGTACGTCAGCTTTTTAAAGCTATGTATTTCTAACATCTGTCCTCCACTTGTTCCCTGCTTCCTTCTTGATTCTTCCATCCCCTCACTCTCCCCTTGAACCTCCCTCCCTTTCCCTCCTGCCTTCTTCCTCGCATCTCTCTGTTGTAGCAATCTGTCCGGCAAACGCCATAGCGGGGCCAATTCCAGACACCATCAGCAGTCTGGTTTGGCCTGGGGTTTCTCCTCTGTGAGCAGGGACTTGTCACACAACCAATTATCCGGAAAACTGCCAAGTGGACTCAGCAGGTTGCAAGGGCTGCTCACACTGTAAGTGTTTTTCTTTTAGGCAGATGGGCAAACCGCACCACCTTGCATGGCAGCAGTGGGCGTTCACGATCAATAATATTTAACTCGAATGTATGTGCATTTCTTCCACGCTCTATCTCCCTTTCATGCTGCTGCAGTTCTCTGCGCAGCAACTACCTGTACGGAGGCGCGCTGCCCACCTCCATGTGCGCCTCCTCCTCCTCGCCGCTCGCCCTCTCTCTGCACGACAACTGCTTCCCCTCCGACGCCGTCCCGTGCGCCCTCCCCCACGCCCAGCGCCCCCCCCTCCAATGCTCCGCCTTCTGCAGCCTCTCCCCTCCCTCCACCCCGCCCTGTGCCGGCCGCGGCTACTGCTTCTGGGAGGGGGGGGAGGCCACAGGCACTGCCACGTGTGCATGCGGGCCGAGCTTTAAGATGGGCAGCACTCCTTGGAGCTGCGACAGCATTCTTTCGAATTCAGAGTGTAGGGCTATGCTCGATAAGGGATTGGCTCTTGTCTGATTCAAAGTAACACCGTTTTCTGTCTTGCAATTTCTCTAGGCACCTCAAATGTCATTCTGACTTGTTTCAAGTACATCCTCCCCTCCTTCTGCTCTGACGCACAGGGGAAGCACTGGAAGCACTGATGAAAGCCTGGCGAGGGTATGATGGGAAAGGCACGTGGATGCGAGATGGCAAATGTGCCGAGATGAAGCACATCACTTGCGATGGTGACAACCATATCGTTGGCCTGTAAGGGGATTGGCCGAGACGGTCGTTCACCACCAGTCTGCAATGGTTGATGCATGGGATGGGAACAATTTGATGCTTCAACATAAGGCTGGATGCTTACTTGCATTGCACGTAACCATCCAACCCAAGAAAGGGTTTGAAGCGATGTGATTGTGCAAGCTTTTTGCGTTTGCAGAAAGGTTGCGTTTAATAACTGCACTGTAGCTAGCCTGCTTCTGATGTTATTCGGACATGCCGACCGTTTTGCACAGGGATGTCAATGGAACTCGAGTTGCGGGCAGCATACCAGCACTTATCAGTAACCTCGTCCATCTGACCAAGTTGTAAGGCCACATCCATCCACCTGCCAGCACTCCATGCACCTCATTCCACCTGCCAGCACCCTGCGCACAACATGCATCTGATTGTACAGCACTCCTCCTATCAAACCTCTGTCTTCCAACCTCAATTGTATGTCATAGGGACCTTTCCAAGAATCGTTTCAGTGGCACTGTTCCATCGGCTATCGGACAGCTTACCAATTTGGTCTACTGGTAAGGAACTTGCACACTGTTATAGAATCGAATCAGTGATGACGTCGATGCTAGCTTGACGTCTACCTGGTATTTGCCTCCCTGCCTTACATCTGACTATGCAACCGTCCTCTTGACAACACACCTGTATTCCAGATTCAGGCACCTCAAGGCGCCTCAAGGCGCAAAGTTTGCTTTGACACGGTCTTTAAAACGCCTTTTCTGAGGCGTATTTAAGAAGCGTTCGTGCCATCTGGCTGGCTGTGATCATGCTGCCTTGCACTCCATCCCATGTGATGCTGTACGATTTGGTGTTTGCTTGTTGCAGGAAATTGTCGTACAACTGAGGTGACTTTTGAGTCGACTCAAAAGTCACCTCGTGTTTGCTTGTTGCAGGAAATTGTCGTACAACTCCTTCACAGGCGACCTGCCCAAGACCATCTCAACGTTGCGACGACTAGATACCTTGTGAGAGATTTTGTTCAAATTTTGTACGAGTCATTAGAATAAGTCATTTTGAAGTGGGGGTTGGAGTGCAGAAGGCAGATGGACTTGAGGGATGTCAGGAGCAGGCACAGTCTGTGGGTGTGTGTCAGGAGCGTCACCGTGTGGGTAAATCTAGCACTTGCAGAGTGCAGAGCAGAGAGAAGAGTGCAGAAAAGGGGTGTGCATATTGCCACAAGTTATGTACGCAGCCCGCTCAGTGTGTACGGAAGGGCCTGGAACCCAGAGTTTCATACAGGTGGCGAGCAGAATGCAGATGGAATGGCGGGATGTGCGATGGAGGTTGCTCTACGTGTGTGTTGCCATTGCTGCTGTGTAATCTCTGTAAAGACCAGTGACCAGCAGCTGTAAGGAAAATTGGTTCGTCTGCTGGTGCACAGATTCTTTCGAGAAATTAAAAGTTGCATGCGAAATGTGGTTTGTCTGCTGCTGGTGCAGGGATCTTGGTGCAAACGCGTTTACTGGCCAGATCCCACAAGGAGTCTGTAGCATGACAGCTGCAGGTTTCATGTGAGTGCACTTCGTCCGTGCACTTCGTGCCCTCCCATGCGCTCACGCTTCAAGGTGAAGTTGACGGTTGACCACTATTATTAACAATGTAACCCCAAGCTTAGGCAAGTACGCTATAACTTCACACAGCACACGAATCCCCCGGCTCCTCATTTTTATCTTTGTTGCTTCTGCATGCCAGTATTCTCGCGGAGAACAGCTTCACTGGGCCTGTTCCTGATTGCATCTCAAGTTTGACAAACCTTGTTATGTTGTAAGTCCTCACTTCTAGTCAGTCCACCATGACACATGCGCTTACAGCAGTTCATGCTTCTAGTCGGTCCGCTTTGCATCAAGGCTCAGCAGAAGGGCAGAACTTCTGGTGCTACAATTGTGAAAGTAGAGCGTCATCTGTTTTCAAGGATTTCTGGAGTAGTGCAGCACAGCACAGTGCTCCCTTTTGAGGCGCCTCAAAAGTCGTCTCAGTTCACACGGATTTCTGCACTAGTGCCGCACAGCACAGTGCTCCCTTTTGAGGCGCCTCAAAAGTCGTCTCAGTTCACACGGATTTCTGCAGTAGTGCAGCACAGCACAGTGCTCCCTTTTGAGGCGCCTCAAAAGTCGTCTCAGTTCACACGGATTTCTGCAGTAGTGCAGCACAGCACAGTGCTCCCTTTTGAGGCGCCTCAAAAGTCGTCTCAGTTCACACGGATTTCTGCAGTAGTGCCGCACAGCACAGTGCTCCCTTTTGAGGCGCCTCAAAAGTCGTCTCAGTTCACACGGATTTCTGCAGTAGTGCAGCACAGCACAGTGCTCCCTTTTGAGGCGCCTCAAAAGTCGTCTCAGTTCACACGGATTTCTGCAGTAGTGCAGCACAGCACAGTGCTCCCTTTTGAGGCGCCTCAAAAGTCGTCTCAGTTCACACGGATTTCTGCAGTAGTGCCGCACAGCACAGTGCTCCCTCCCTGCTTCTGATCATGATCACCATTACGCTCCCATACTTAACGATGCCGACACATGATGGTGGGTGCTTCTGAGCTCAATATAGCTACGTTTACAAATGTCATTGACGTTTCATTGTTCATGGCGTCCCTAGTTGAGTTGGGACCTTGATCCCAACAGGGCAACTTCTTCCTGATTAAGAAACTCCTTGACAATCAGCCAACTGTTCCCAATTAGGCAACTTGCTTCAAACCTTGCCACTTTATCCCATTTGACAACTTGTTTTCAATTTGGCAACTTCTTCCCAATTAGACAACTTGTTTTCGATCAGGCAGCTTGTTCCCAATTAAGCAGCCTGGTAACGAGTTTTCAGTTAGGCAACATTCTCCTAAGTACGCAATGTGTTCCCACATAGACAAGAGCAAGGTACCGAACTGAACCGTCTCATGTTCATAGCCTTTGTTTATGAACCGGTTCAAATCCGAACCGAACCGGTTCGTGATGAGCCTTATTCTTCAATGGGCCGGTTCGTGGTTTTTTTGTTAGTAACTCACGAACCGGCACCGGTTCGGTGTGGTTATAGTACCCAGAGTAAAGCTGTAGCCTTAGGGGGTGTCCAGCGCGTACATTTACCGTTCATAAATCCCTTCAGTTACCACATTTTGAGTTGTAACAATGCATTTTTCAGAAAGTGTGGACACGACCGACTGTTGTACATGAGAAGGTACGCCAGCTGCATGTACCTCGAGTCGTGTGGCTCACTTAACAGCTTACAGCATGCACGCGAACTCGGGTACAGTATCGCGTCCAACTAGCTACAGTAAGTTCCCTGTGTATTGCTCGCACGATTTCGTCAGTGCCGCTCGATACTCGCCGAAACCACATGCACACTGGCGAAAATGTCAACCCCACTCTTCATGAGGGAACCGGTTACCCTGGTTTCCAGAGTGTGTTGGCACTGTTGAAGTTTGTGTGGGTGGGAATGTGTCCGCGCGCTCGAAATTCGAGGAACTGTGGACTCGGCTCAAAGAGCATCCGTTTTCTGGTACAGTGATCACTTTTTCTTCCCCCGACACGTGTGTGGGCACTAAAATTCCCAAAATGAACGCGTTGGACACCCCCTTAGTTGTGTAATGTGCTTGCACTGGACAGCGAAGCGTAATGTGCAAAAACGCTGGTGGAATCACGCATTGCACATATATCTGGAAAATGTGCAATACGCTTGCACGTAGTGTCTTGCGCGCAACTCTGATTTCGCCAATCCCCTCATCCAATCAACTCCACCCAAAATGCCTCGTACCCCCAACCATCGCAAGCCGCGCTGGTTGTCGCGACGAACCACGATCTGTTTGTCGCTGCGACTCGGTTAAATTATGAAAACAAACCAACCGAACCAACGAACCGGTCCGTAACGACCTGGGCAGAAAGAAATGTTGTTCCGGTTATTATCGAACGGATCTGCACCGAACCAAACTGCGGTTTGGTAAGGTGATCATGTCTATTCCCAAGTACACAACGTGATCCCAAGAATACGACATGTTCGCAAATTCCTCATGCCCCGCACTGTCGCCTTGTGCCCACGCATGCCCAATGGCTATTCCGCATTGCAGGGCTCTGCAGCACAACCACTTGTCTTGGCAGGTGCCCCCCTCTCTTGAGCCGCTCAAACGACTTCAAGTTTTGTAAGTCGTCATTTTGCTGGGCTTAAGCATTATGGCGGTTTTCCCAAGTCTGTCCATCTAGTGTGTGTGTGCTGTAATGTGTACACTATAACTCACTCTTCTGAAGCCAATGTGCTGTAGTTGCTTGTAGCTTCGCACACTTGCGTTTATCCTTGGAAAAACTGGGGGATTGAAGACACATGGCAAGAAGGTTCATATCCGCAAGCTCCGAAAGAAGTTGTTTCGTCTTGAAGTTGTTTGCTTTAGAGCTTGAAGCCCTTCGTTCAGTAAAGTGAAAGTTTGCCAGTGCGCCCATTTTCTCATGCTAGTGAGTGTTGATTGTGCAGTTCAAAGGGTGTGAGAATAGACTGACAGTGTGGCCGGCAGCATAGGATAAATAAGCATGAGCTAAATTGCTGGCACCTCTACACTGTAAC